ATATATATATATCTGTGTATGTGCAGTTTGACACTTTCGCTGTCCGTATTACCTACCTGTTGCCTGTTTGGTGGTTGGTGGTGGTGTTTATGTGTCAATGCACACTGACCAGTCAAGCAAGCTGTGGATACCATAATAAGGAAATGATCTAGTCTTCACTAATTGTTTGGTTGGTACCAGCTGCTTTTTAGAATATATTTCCATGATTTTTATTTATTTATTGAGAAAGGCAGCCATGTGAAATGGTTTGTTTGTGATAGGTGAAATGAGGAGTTTGGTTCAGAGTGTGGTTTGGGGTTTTTTTGTGTGTCCTGAAAAAGTGAACAGTATGAATGATAGGGCACAAAAGTGTCTATATATAATCACATTTGTTTGCTTTGTTGTATTGCGAAAACTTCAAACGGGCAATCTTTATTTCTCCATTTGTGAGGCATCATGGTGAAAGCGGGCGTTCGTCCGAGTAATGAATTCATAGAAATCTGCATTTTTCTGGCCGTTGGGTAATTTTTTTTCGAATTTTCTATTTTTGGCTCAACACCATTCATGTCTTTTTAAAAACACATTTCTGTGTGGATTTCACCCTACAACTTTGATCAAAGGCACACAAAAAATGAAATTTGCAGTTTCTAAGGACTCTCAAACTTTAGTGGTTACCAAACTTTGGCAACTATTTGCTTGCTAATTTTATTTCTAACACCAAGTGACCACCACCTCCCCTCAGTCGCAAATATTTTGACTTCTATTCTAGGTAGACTGGTACCTTTTTCATCAAAAGTAAGATAAATAAACAAGCTTTAAAGTGATACCAGTAACTCTGTATGCCCAAAAATTGACGAGCGCCTGATTCCACCATGTCATGACTCATTTGAACAGAGCTCTCTTACTCTGCGATGATCTAGTTGTGGAAGTTAGTCTGTGTGTGTGTGTGTTTTGTTTTTTTTTTGTTTTTTTTTCACTTATTTCTTCCTTGCATCATTTCTTCTATGAAATGTGTTTACGAGGAGCATTTTTTCCCAAGAATTTGAACTTTTCAACTTAAATTTTTGGATCAGGTTTGGACTGGCAACTCTTTCCCTCACAGTTGGCAACGCAGTACCAAACTAGGTACATAAGTGATAAGACCAAGTGGTCATTAGAAAAAGGTATTTGCTGGAGGAGAGGGGGGGGGGGAGACACGTTATGTGGACCACTGTAGGAGATATAGTTACAACGAGGCTGAATTAAAATTACTGCTGATGGAGTCTCAATTTTTCTTTACAAAGTGCAGCCAGCAATAATATTACTTTTTGCTCGCGCATTAGACCACTCCTTGTTTTGTTTTTTTTGTCTGGTGGCTTATTTTCCAGCTACAACAGTGACAAAATAGTCTGCTTAGCGCTTTGAGAAAATGCTCTTCTGTGCTTGGCCTTCGACCATTGTGGGGAGAACTACGTTATGGCGTCTTTCACTTTGTATCGAGCACAGTAGTGTTTTGTTGGCTTCCAGAGTTGTTCACAGCACTTATGATACATGTATGAGTTTTGACAACTTTTTTGTATGAATGTTTATTTTTATCCGATGCAGTTTTGTCTACTTTTCTGTTTTGATGTCTATTATACTGGAAGCCTCTTGAAATAGAAAGTGTTTTTGTAAAGAAAGAGGGGTAAAGTTATGAACCTAAGTATTTTACAGTAGTTCTGTAGAGGCTCTCGGTATTCTAAATCCTCGGCCAGCTGTTCTGATGTACAAAGTCCGAAATTTTTTTTATGCAGTTTCTTAACCCTATCCGTACGTCGTGTTTTACTATCGTATCCATACGACGTGGGGAACTCTGTGCCACCACTTACTAAAGAGGAAATTTACTCGTTAATCCGATCCATTCGCTTTGCATAGCAGTCTGTCAAAATGAGTTTTTGAGAAATACTGAAAGTTTCAAAGAGATCTGCGTCCTAGAAGTATTCTAAAATGTGAAGAATACAACC